CTTAAATAGTCAGTGCCCAACGTAGCTGAAATAAATACTTTAATATAAGCAAAAGACAAAGTACCAGTCAACAGCACTAAGTAAAGGAGAAAAATATAATCAAAACCAATAATATATAAATTTGTTGTCTAATGGACGCAAAAAAAATCTTATAGATCAGGAGAGGATACCCTTTTAGATATTTACCGAGGCATTCGGTAAGAATCTAGTACCCCAGAATAAAAACAAATAGTCAACTATGGTGCATCATTGGCCAAAATCCAATGACAAAAGAACTTTCCTCAAGCCCACAGAAATAGAGGACGACCAAAAAATGACGTAGAACAATCACAAATGAAATATCAAGAATTTTAAATGAATTGAGATTTTTGGCACGAAATCGTCAACTTTTGAAAAACTTTGTTACGGATTTATACATATACATTTTTAAGACGTCTCTCTTAGAACGAAGTATAAATACTATCTAGCAAGCACATTTAATGATGTTGTGTTCGAAATGGTTTTCCTTATGCTCGTATTGGATTAATAACAGCAATATGATAATGATTCTGGGCAGTGTTTTGAGCTGTTTCAGCACAATATAATATATGTTTTCAAGCGAACAATGTATAAACTATAGTCTATCACGCTATTCTATACTCAAATAAACTTTTAGCCATCTTTACTAGGATGCAATAAACGCACTCAATTCTCATCAGGTGATTTTAAGACTGGTGCAGGTTATGGCGAAAAGTTGAATATCCTTGGCTAAAACAATCAAATAAAGAATCTGAAAGTTCCGGGTCACGATGAAATTTAGGCCAACGTAGTTACGAACAAACTTGTCAAAAAAAAATGTGGCAGCCTTAATGCTTGTAGGACCTAAACTATTCTGTGACTTTGAAGAACGTAATCTCTTTTCTCCCATTCAGATATGCATTATGTCGTAAATTGATCGCAGCATAGTGATATTTGCAGTATTTGATCTTTAAATTCCGATTTACAGCAACTACTACTAGTTTGCAAAACAAACTGAACTGAACTGAACTTAAAAAATGCCCCAAGAGATGGGTTTACTTTCAATAAAGTGTTGGTTACTGACAATGTAGCTTGTTTTGAGACCAAATATAAATCGTTCTACTTTCTGTAGAAATGATATGATAGATAAACATTGAAATTAATATATCAAAGAGACTTTGTTGCTAAAATTATTGAGTGAAGTGGAGAATCATTGATTAGATATCGTCAGATACGATAGTAAGTAGCCTATTTTCAATCTCTACAAAGTTATCCCAATTAATAACAAAATTCGTCAAGAGATTGCGAATGTTCTGTTATATATATAGATTTAATTTATTATATCCGAAAGTTCCTTTTTTCACCTGGAGTGTTAAAACTCTACTGCGATGATAAGCAAAATGAAGAGACCCCACTGCAGATATATAAGTAATATATAACAAATTGAGCTAGATAATATTTTAACAGTTCCCCAATGCAATTTTCTTGCGTTTACAAATTAGAGTAAATAAAAAAGATTTCAATTTGTTAAAAATGTTTTTCTTAAAACATTGCAAAACATCGAAAAAGAAGGAAGAAAAATGCAGACAACAAAATCGCATTACTGTCGATACGGAAAGGCAACTTATTTAAACACGTATCGCTGTAAATTCCGGCATATCCTGACTCACACTTCAGTTTACAATACAGAAATGTAAGAATATTTATTTGAATAAGCAAATAAAAGTATGAAAAAATATGCATGCAGTGAGTGCATTACGTATATAAATCCAGGAAAACGATGAATTTATGTTGATGTTATCCTGGCGTACGGAAGGAAGCGCTTGAATGAGTGAATTATGAAATCAACGGATGAAGTGCAGGCGAGCGAACCGAACCGAAGACGACCCTGTCAACTCAGTTTGCTGCCAAAGTGAAATATTTCAATTTCATTTTATCATATAAAAAAATACAAAAAAAGCCAGAAGAATGGAAAAAAATAAAAATATTTAATAATAATGGAAAAATGCAAAAATTCCAGAATACAAGACTCAAGCGTTCAGCGCCTGGCAGGTCGCAGGAAAAACTGCACTACATAATATGGGCAAATACGAAGTACCAGTCGATTTCCTGATATGTAAACACGTGTGTGATTTCAAGTATCCGTCTGAGTTGGCAGTTGTAAATTTAAATTTAATTGTGCCTGCTGCTTATGGGTTAAACTCTGTTAAATTATGTAAAACTGTGTAAAGATGTTGTCGAACAATGATCTGATATGCGAAAATACAGTGTATTCAAGATGTGTCAATCGCACAGCAAAAATATGTGAGAAGTACTTACCACGCTGGCAAGTTGCGAGGCCTGCAAGAAAAAAGAAAATGATAAAAATTAAAATTTTATAATATTATTTAAATTACATGCAAAAAAATGAAATATGAAATATGAAATTTATTTACACTTCAGTTAAAAAATTATAATAATACATATTGCACTGAAGTTTTTATATGAAAGTCTATCATTTTACTGCAAATCTGCTAAACATAACGTTGAAAATAATAGTGAATGTTTCTGGTACATCAGAATTACGAATCTTTATAGAACCTTCAGATTGTTATAGTTGAAAAATATTTGATGACAACGTACTGAAACTCTTCGATAAAAGATATAACCATCTCAATTCAATATTAGACCTGCTAAAGATTCGTCCCAACCTAACAACCGTTAAAAGTTATTTTCAACGAGACGTTAACAAGCCCACTCACAACATAGAGTAGAGATGCTGATGAACTCCAAATCGAATAAATAATAAACAACAAATAAACGTCTAGACCGAATAAGATCTTTTAATACATTTACGATTAATTTTTACCTCAGTACCTTGAGGTTGTACTTTGTCCGAAACACTATCGCGTTTCTAGCGTTCAATATCAGAATGTCATATTCAGGCCCACTGGGTTCGAAAAATACCCTTCGCAACTCCGCACCAACTTAGATCAAAGTCAAATATTTTTGTTTTGAGAAATATCTTCGACCTCCTCTTGAGTACACACTTTTCTTATTGGTCGTCATCATCATTCATCAGCGTGTTCTAAACAGAAAAAATTTATACATCTGAGGAGAAATTTTCCGTGATTGTTTAAAACACAATCCCACAAAGAAATTCCAACAGTAGATTTCACAAAAACTACGAAGGAGGCTTTGTCGCCACTAAAACCAATGAACTAACCATCAACTACAGCGCAAGTCTCACAGCAAATTTTATTCCAACAGTACAATTGACTTGTATCTCTTAACTCTCGCTTAGCAGTATTCTTTTCGCCGTCGTGATCACTTGCTACGGATACCATTTCATCCAACCATTAACTACAGTAACAGTCTGACAGCAAATATTACTGCAATAACAATAACACTATTGATGTGTAACTCTTGCCAAGCGATATTAAACTTACACTTATGAGGATCAATGCCTGATATCATATTCATGGAATTCTCTTACTGCAGCTCTAATTTCTACAATGATCTATTAACCTCTACAATACCTCTAATTTCATCATTTCATTGCAGAAGTACTATTATCTATATCGATATTCCATTACACAGTCGCGATTACGATAAACTCGTTCGCAAACGTTAGTGAGAACCACATTTCATATTATACTGAACATCTGGGCACCTACCCCTTGACTGATATAAGTCTCCCTCAACATGAAGTATCCTTACTTTTCATTACTATTAAATTCACATGTATCTATGCTCTTCATTTCTTTCTATATAGTTTTAGTAGAATAAAGTGAGGTTGTTTTAGCGTTGAACTTACAACACTATTTGATTCAAATTTTTAATCCAACAATCTCTCTCAAAATTTAATGTTGACTTTTATATAGTAAGTCATAAAGTTTAAGATTTTATGTACTTGAATTTTATAACTCCGCATTTCATGTTTAGAGTGAGACTATGTCACTCTTCCTCAAGTTCGTTTTTGGTCATGTCATCATCGTCAAAACTTAACCGCCACCAAGTACCAATGTTTTTCGTTATTCATGTGCTAACCCTTTTACACTGCCTGAGTACGACTATAAGTACTTACTTGCACACAGGATATAGGATACAGGAAATAAAATGTCATAAATTTTTTACTACAAGTTTATTTCTTTCTTGACTTCGCACTGCTAAACCAATTTTTTCACATTAGATTTCTCTTCGCATATGAACAAATTTATATCTATGCATACTCGTGTAACTTTAGAGCAATAATAAACTTACTCATATGAAGCATTCATTTTTAAATGAGATTTGTTACTGATGATTAAATTTCATTCACACCGAAAGTTGAACTCAACTTTAAATTTAAAATAATGGAATTGCACTTTATTCGGTAGCAAAGAACTTTCATGGAAAAGTTTTTTAATTCAAATAAATTAAAGTCAATTCAGTGAAATTAATTTTAAAAATAATAAACAAGTTTCGCTAATAATTTAAAGAAACTTATTTGTTAAAGGATTCGTCTGAAACGCCTCCTCTTGTTGGGCTTCATTAAAAGTTTGAAATGATTTTGAACCCTTTACAATTTATACAAGAATACAATAGAATACAATAGGCCTAAGTATATTGCTAGCATCAACCTAACAGGTTAATACCTTACCTTCTAAAATAAGATCTATTCCCCGAATACTCGAAATTATAATTAATTAAAATAATTATAATTATTATAATATTTCCACTAATCTATGTATGAATATAGCTTATTTCGAGAGATATTATAGATATTATTTAGAGAAATATATTCACTCGTAAATTTGCATAAATAACACCAAGTAGTCAATGTGGCATCTGATTACTTAATTGTCATTTGTACAATCAATGCAAAATTGCATGCATTACTTGCCGCCAGATGGCGTTTATAATTTTTATATAGTGTCAACACTGCTCTAATAGCACTGCCAACAAATAATTTTAATATCAGTCAAGAAAGTCTGACATCTTAAAAACAATTTCATATTGACATTTTAATTATTCGAAAAAGTTTCTCAGCACATCGAAATTCATCAAAATCTGTAAATTAAATCGCCCGGTAGTTCGAAATCACTTCAACTACAATTATCCTTTAAAAAGATTATCAGTTCATAGAGTTTCAGAATGTGGAGCAAAATTTTCTTAAATGTGGTGAAATAACGAAGTATGGTAGGTATATACCTATGTCAGTATTTCCTACTACATATTTTAAAGTTCCTCCGATTTCTAAATTTTTTATATAAAGCAGATTATTTCGTCAATTTGACAATCGTCAATTTGACAAGTGAAACAAAATAATATTCGATTATAAAATTTTAAATAAAAATGTTTTCTTGACAAAGTAATGTCAAAATTTAAAAAATTTTTTTTTTAAAAATTTTTGTATTATGAAAGTTTTACATTTTTTCTCTTCACTTTTAATATTTAATATATATTTATTATATCTTTTAATTAATTCAATCCACCTAGACAAGTTAAGAATGCTACAACTTTTGAAATCCGCGTTATGCAAAATTATCTTTCATCGTAAATTTCACATCAGTGCCATGACGTTAGAGAAAGTACCGATTTCAAAATTTGATAAGAATATTTATCTGCCTTATGAAAACCTTTCAAAAAAATTGGATATAGTTTACAGTCAATTGAAACGTCCTTTAACACTTTCTGAAAAAATACTTTACTCTCATTTGGATAAACCAGAAGATGGAAACCTTAAACGTGGTGTTTCCTATCTTAATCTCCGCCCTGATCGTGTGGCTATGCAAGATGCGACAGCTCAAATGGCTTTGCTGCAGTTCATTTCATCAGGGTTGAAAAAAGTTGCAGTACCATCTACCGTGCACTGTGATCACTTGATTGAAGCACAAGTTGGAGCCAAAGAAGATTTAAAACGCGCCAATGATTTGAATGCAGAGGTATATAAATTCTTAGCAAGTACTTGTGAAAAATATGGATTGGGTTTCTGGAAGCCAGGTAGTGGCATTATACATCAAATTATTTTAGAGAATTATGCCTTTCCAGGGCTGCTTATGATTGGCACTGATTCACACACACCGAATGGTGGTGGTCTGGGTGGCTTATGTATAGGTGTCGGTGGTGCTGATGCAGTGGATGTAATGGCCAATATTCCTTGGGAACTTAAGTGCCCACTAGTGATTGGCGTACTTTTAACTGGCAAATTCAGCGGCTGGACATCTCCAAAGGATGTTATATTAAAAGTAGCTGACATACTTACAGTGAAAGGTGGTACAGGTGCGATTATAGAATATCATGGAAAAGGAATTGAATCTATATCTTGCACTGGGATGGGTACCATATGTAATATGGGAGCAGAAATTGGTGCCACCACATCGTTGTTTCCCTTTAATGATCGTATGAGTAAGTATTTGAAAGCCACAGGCCGTGCTAAAATTGCCGAAGAAGCAGAAAAATACAAAAATACATTATTTTCGGCTGATAAAGAAGCTGAGTATGATCAATTGATTGAAATCGATTTGAGCAAACTGGAACCTCATGTCAATGGACCGTTCACACCAGACCTGGCGCACCCTATAAGTAAGCTTGGTGAGAATTCCAAAAAAAATGGTTATCCAATGGATATTAAAGTTGGCCTAATTGGATCATGTACCAATTCATCGTATGAAGACATGGGACGTTGTGCCAGCATTGCTAAAGATGCAATGGCACATGGCCTGAAATCAAAAATAAAATTCAATGTAACTCCTGGCTCAGAGCAGATACGTGCCACAATAGAACGAGATGGTATATCTAAGGTACTAACTGATTTTGGTGGGACGGTTTTGGCAAATGCGTGTGGTCCTTGTATTGGACAGTGGGATCGCAAGGATGTGAAAAAAGGTGAGAAAAACACTATAGTTACCTCATATAATCGCAATTTTACTGGACGCAATGATGCCAATCCTGCTACACATGCATTCGTGACAAGTCCAGAACTTGTAACAGCGTTATCCATCGCTGGCCGTCTAGATTTCAATCCCATTAAAGACGAACTCACAGGTAAAGACGGCTCAAAATTTAAGTTAAAAGCACCCCATGGTGAAGAATTGCCTGCAAAGGGGTTTGATCCCGGCGTGGACACATACAAAGAACCACCCGCTGATGGGAGCGGTATAAATGTGGATATTGATCCCAAAAGTCAACGTTTGCAATTGCTTCAACCGTTTGATAAATGGGACGGTAATGATTTGATTGATATGACCGTACTTATCAAGGTCAAAGGCAAATGTACTACTGATCATATATCAGCTGCTGGACCTTGGCTTAAGTTTCGTGGCCACTTAGACAATATATCAAATAATCTCTTTATTGGAGCTACTAATATAGAAAATAATGAATTGAATAAGATCAAGAATCAACGAACTGGCGAATGGGGTGCTGTGCCGGATGTAGCACGTGACTACAAGGCTAACAAAATAAAATGGGTGGCTATCGGTGACGACAACTATGGAGAAGGCTCCTCACGTGAACATGCCGCACTTGAACCAAGACACTTAGGTGGTCGTGCTGTTATTGTGAAATCCTTCGCTCGCATACATGAAACGAATTTAAAAAAACAGGGAATGTTACCATTAACTTTCCAAAATGCTTCCGACTATGATAAGGTGCAACCGACAA